GTATCACCATCAACACCGTCTATCGCGGCAAGCCTAGCAGTAAGTCTGTCCACTGATGAAAACAAGCCGATACGTTCTGCAGAATAACCACATGACCTCACCTAGCAGTGATATAACTTGTCATCACTTGTTGATGAGAACATGTGGATGGCTTTGGTTGAATGATAAGTTCTTGATTATGTTGGCAGCAAAAAGACTAAACAAATGGCACATTGTTGGTCATACTAGCGTGATGACCTACAGAACATTTCTTTAAAAACCTCAAAGTGCTGTGTCACCTTTCCTGAAATTGGTGCATACACTCCAGGTCGGACTGTGTCATTGTCTGTTTATATTGTCAGTAGGGCCACCTGGTGATCAAACGGCTAACTACATCCCAGTGTGTTTCACATAACTTCATAGGTTATTTCAAGTGTGTCTCTTATTGTGGGTCCGGTTGTCTGTAATTAGTGGTTATTTGTTAAAGTTTCATGCATAATTAGGTATTTTCACTGACCTTGTTGTGACCCCCAAAAACTATTTTGAATATTGTGGGCCTCATCCACTTCTGCTACAGAACTTCTCTCTTAATTCTCACTGCCACCTTCTACTCATCCTTTCTCTCTTCATATTTTCTTTGAATTCCCTAATCTTATCAGTCCTGTCTGTACTTTGTGGATGTCTTTTTGTTCGGCTCTCTCTCTCTCTCTCTCGCCCTATTCTCAGTATTCTATTTCTCTGGTAACTCCTCTTTGTATTCTCTGTCATTCTCTATTATTCACGCTTGCCCTGTGTCCTCCAGACTCTTTGGTTGGACAGGATTCTCTTTTGGATGGGCCGCTTCTCTCCCACCCCTCCACTGGTGGTCTAATACTGGCCTCATCCCCCTCATCTCTCCCTGCACCATCTTTGGACCAGTTTACTACTACTGCTTTGAGCAGTGGACAGTACCACCAGGGTAAGAAACAGATGCACAATCACCTCAGTTGCATGTGGTATAAGTAACAAGACATTGATTGTGAGTTAGATTTTTGTTATGTCAAGCAGAAATAGAAACCAATTAGCCTGTGAAATAGAAACCAGTTTTAATCAGTAAAAGGTTTTAGATTTCTGCCGAACAAATAAACAAAATTAGCCTACATGCTGAGTCAAATGGTGAAAATTTGTGCTTTGTGCTCATAATAGGCCTCGACAAATGAAGTACTCCTTGTTTCGCTTATTTAGGACATTTCTTACGTTACTTACCTGCTCTTGCTTATCTATGCTCATCACTCTCTTTTCCCCTCTCTCAAACTTTCTTCCTAATCTCTTCTTTTTCTCTCTCTCTCTGCCGGTCTGCTGTGGCACTAACCTCTTCCTGCAGGCTCTGATCCAGCTCACCTGCTCTCAGTCGTCCAGTCCTCTGAGACTGGGGTCCAAAGCGCCGATAACCAGTTTGACCCAATTCCAGTGCTTATCTCCAAAAGCTCCAGCCAAGGTAAGGGAGTTCAGATAGCAGCAAAATTTTCTGGAAGAGAGCACATGCATCTAATTCACCCCGAAGTGTAGATGAATAGTTGCAAACGTATCAAACAGAAAGTGGTTTTGTACTGTTAGACCCTGGTGTCTCTGACGTTATTGAACAATTAAGACCTGGCTTTGAGTAGTGAAATAGACTCGGACACACATGCTTTCATTTCTGCATCACAAACTGTCTTCGCCCTGTTTCACCCGAAAATCAAAAGAAGAAAAATTATATTGTGACATTTATTTTGCCAAATTCTCAGTACTGTAATATCTTTTGATTGTTGTAATGATTTAGGTCATAATGACCTTTTACCCATTATTGTCAATGGTTATTCTCATTAAAGAAAAAATCATACTGAGATAAAATAATTTTTACTTAAATTAATTAATTTTTTATTTATATATATATTTATTGTATGTGCAATTTGGGTCAATTAGATTATTTTAAAAGTAATTAATACTTTTAATCAGCAAGGATACATTAAATTGACCAAAAGTTATAGAAAAAACCATTTATAATGTTACAAAATATTTTGGTTTCAAATATGATGCTGTTCTGTTTCTGTTGCTGTTTCCATTCAAAGAATTTTTCCCCCTTTTTGTTTTACAAAAATATTAAGCAGCACGGAGGTTTTCAACATTCTACTGTATTCTTGATCAAATAAAACTTAAAAAATTAAGAAAAAAAAAAAAAATCTAAATCTTACTTTTCCTATTTAGTAGAGCAGTGTATTTAAATATTTTCTATTTATTTTACTTCATTGTAATGAGAGTTTGAGGGAAGACACGCCTATAAAAATACTGTAAAAACAAAAATTTGACTTTAATTTTTTTAATTTCTTTATGCACTTTTTTCCCCCCTTTTCTTTTCTTTTGATTTTGGGATGAAATATGACTTTCAAGTAAGAAATTCAAGTAGGTGAGTGTCATGTACTACATAATATATTAAACTTAAAATGTAAACTATGATCTTAAAGTAGCATTACAGCGAATATTATTCACCCTTAAGACTTTAAGTTTTTGGGCGCTTTTGTTTTTCTTTCTTGCCATGCTCTTTAAAATATTCCGCTATTCCCACACATAATCCTTACTTTGATGCTGCTCTGTTATCTTTTAGCGGTTTATGCTTTCTCTTTCCTGCTGTTCATCTGGTTTTTGCTTTTTCTCTTTCCTCCTTTCTTTTCTCACCCCTCATCCCTCACTCGCCCGCCGTCAACATCTTCTTTTCATCCTCATTCTTTCCCACACTTCTCATTTCTCACCTCCTTTCCTTTCTCTCTCTCTCCCTCACTCTTTCTCTTTTCCTCTTTCCGTCATGTTCTAGGTGGTCACTCGCGCAGCAACAGTGGCAGTTCTGAGACCAGTCTGCCCTCGCTGGCACGCTCCCTTCTGCTGGTGGACCAACTCATCGACTTGTAGAGGAAACAGAGAGAGAGAGAGGCAGATGAATAGAGACACAGGGAGAGGGCAGCGTGCAATTCTAAAAATTATAGCGAGAGTTTAGAAACTTCAGTTTTAAGTAGTCGCATAAACCCTGTCCACCCTTGAGTGTCCTTGCGCACATTTTCCTTTGACATTCTTTTCACATTTTCTGTATGTCTCTCTTCTGCTGATCCATAAACATTCATAAACATCTCTCTATCATTGATTTATGCTTCACACTTCAGGATTTCAAAACATGTCAACTAGTGATGATTTACGCCAGCTTTGGAAATGTATGACTTAGCTAGGGGTGATATCATGCCAAAAGTCAATGTTCAATAGATTACGGTTCTTTAGCATGAAATTCATAATCCATTTATCTTCGGTTAAATGGCATTTCAGAATGAAACATTATTCAATTACAAGTAATGCAGGACGGGATTTGATTTAATCCATTTCAGTTGAAACGTTTGAGGCTGGTAAGATATTTAAATGTTTTTGAAAAAAAATCACCAAGGCTGCATTCATTTGATAAAAATAAAGTAAAAACAGCAATATTGTGAAATATTATTATGGTAAAGCTGAATTTTCAGCATCATTACTCCAGTCTTCAGTGTCACACGATCCTTCAGAAATCATTCTAATATGCTGATTTGCTGCTCAAGAAACTAATTTATTGCTATTAGTATTGAAAACAGTTGTACTGCTTTCAAAATCAGCATATACCTTTTGCACTACAGTGGAATTTAAGCTTATAAAACATTCAAAGTATAATGATTTTCAACTAAAACTATATTGCATATGATTAAGAACGTCTTAGCAACATGTGAATGTGCAAGGACATAAATGTTTAAAGTTACCATGTTATCACCATGTTGTTGCTATATTTAACTCCATTTGGTTAATTCTAAAATTGAGAAATTCTTTGAAATTTCAAATTGTACATAAACGACAGAAAAACTAGTGTGATGCGCAGAGTGTATCAGTATTTTTGAGAAATGTAATTTTAATATATAATTGTAATTAAATGTATAAGAACATAGGAATTACCAGAATGAGCTAATTATTATTGTTATTATTATTATTATTATTATTTGTGTGTGTGTTTAGGATCATTTTGATGAATAAAGTTAGAGTTATAAAGTTAAAAAGAGCAGCATTTATTTAAAATAGAAATCTTTTGTAACATTATAAATGTCTTTACTGTCACTTTTGATAAACTAAATGCATCCTTGCTGAATAAAAGTATTAATTACTTAAAAAATAAATAAATGAATAAAAAATCGTACTGACCCCAAACTTTTGAATGGTACTGTAGAGCACGCTAGCAGTGTCTAACATGTTTGAAGACATTGCAAGTGTATTGCTGGTAACAAACCACAGTACGCAAAAAGGTGATAGTAAACTTAAAGTGTCTGTGCCATTAAAACAGAAATGGAGCGTTCACATACTTACGCAGAGTATGTTTAGGCCCTCGAAAGTGGCAAAGTTAAGGTTTCTCGCCCACATTATTAGATTGAGTGTATCCTGCAAAGTAGACATGCAACATCACAGATAAACTGCTGTAAATGAACACTTGTCGAGGTGTTTCCCTTTGCAGTTATTATAATCTGTCACATAGCTTTATTTATCATCTTAAACACTTGGATTTCACTCCTCTGTGATGTTCTTTCATCCCATCATTTATTTTTTCAGTCATTCTGTCTCTTCTCCTTAATTCATTCCTTCTTTTACTTGTTAATTTATACCCTATGCTTCTTTGCTTTTTGCTGTCTGACTCTTATTGTGCCCTGTGCTACCCCTATAGTGTACATTTAATATTTATAATTTTGATCCAGTTATGAATTGTCCCCTGTAACGACACACAACGGGTAAATGTTGATGAAAAGAAAACATGCATCATATTGAGAGTAACTTAAGCTGTGACTGTACAGGATAAATGTACAAACCGAGAATCTGTATAAATGTGTATTAACCTCAAGATAAATGTAATAAGGTAAAGATTATTTATCTGTATGTTAGAGCACAAAGTTCTGTCAGTTGGATTTTCTTTCTGCCTGTGTGTTTCTCCTGTGCGCCTGTCATGTGAAGGCTGTTTTGGATAAACTTGAATATACAGATAGCGACTATCAGAGATTCCGTGTTCAATAACGTTTCAGCTATCAAGCTCGAAATGATAACTGTAAATAGATATAAGCTGTACCAAACCCTCATGGGCTGTGCCTGTAGGCAGCATTTAAAGGCATTATTTATTTGTATCCATTACCTCCTTGAATAGCCTCTATTTTGAATCTTAACCTCTTAAGATTTCAATTTAAAACAGATATGTGTTTGTACGTTTTCTAAGTTAACTTTGAGTAAATGTGTTTAGACTGAGCCTGTGACGGACTGCTCCTCCTGAGGTCTCGTCTACCATGTGAAGTTTACCAGAAATAAAACAATCAATGATAAGTTCTGGAGTTACTGTCAGAAAATAACTAGTTGTGTTTTTCAACAGGCAATACAGATTTTTTTGTGAAAATCTGGATATTGCAACAATGAATAGAATTTCTCCTAGTTATGCCTAAATACTATTTCATGAGAATTGTTCAACTGAATCAGTTATTTGTGTTCAAACTGGTTCATGACTGGAATGTGTTTCCCAAAAGCATCGTTAGCCAACTATGGCTGCTAGTTTCCAACAGTTCAATGTTTCGGAGTTTCCTGAAACCATACTGTAGTTCCAACAAATATTCGCAAACAGCAATGCAGATTTGTGTGGTTGGAACGACAGCCCTCGACCTGTGGTTAGAAGCATGAATCAAACATCAAATAAAGCAAAACAGGGAACAAAAATAGTCCTCATGTTCGTTACAGCGGTATTTCTGAGAAAGTGGCGTAAACTGCTGACTGAATGAACCGCATGCATATCCTAGAGGAATAAAGTGTACGCCAATTACATACTGCATGTAAACTTGATTTAAAAATGAATGCTTTTCAATTGTTTTTGTGTAAATGAACTATAAAAAGTTGCGATCTTGAATCGATTATTTAGCAGAAGTTATTACTGCGCATGACGTCATTAGCAACAGTCCAATATTGTTGAACCAACATGGTTCAAATGACAGAGGTGCGAACATGTTACTACTGTTTTAGGAAACAGCTAGTTGAAACTAGCTAGTTAATTTCTCCAACGATGCATCGTACTTTGTTAGTCAATCAGCGAATTCCAATGTTTTACGGGAAACACACCCCTGAATAGTTAATTTGCTCTTGTCTGAATCAAGTGGGAATCAATTTTTCAGTAATCACAAATTACTTGAAATGTTATGGAAAAATAATAGAAATTCATTGACAAAATGAAATTTCTAGAATAATGCTGATATTAATACCTATAATCCAATGTAATGACAAAATAAAAAATGCAATATTGTAAATTTCAGAAATTTACTCCACTCAAAAATAAAAAGTTGACAACAGAAACAGCTTATTATCCTTCAAGTTAACGTTTCTGTTGATCGGCTGAGCGGTTATAGTTACAGACTTATGTCAAATATCTCAAAATGGTCAAATATTGGCCTATATATCGGTCTATAACTATCCTAAAGCTGACGTCACGCTGCTCTCTAGACAGCAGATGTCAGACATGTCAACACTGACTCTTGACGAATCTCTGCAAACTCACATTTACCAACACATATCAATTGTAAAACCATATAGAGCTCAATAAGTAAATATGTCTGTCTGTACTATATGTATGACATTTGGATTTTCATAATTAGATGTGTGGAAGCAGTAATAAAACACAATCATTTCTTTTGAGATGTAACTGTTTATAGAGTATACCTAAATGTTGTTTTAAGGGCATTGTTTTATTTTGAGTTATTGTTTTGTTCGAAGCTTGTGCAAATGTTGCATCGGTAGAACATTGTTGTGTGATATTCGACCCGACCTCATGAGAACTCTTTTACGAGCTGCCGATTTACTATGAATTTGCACAGTGTGATTCGTATGTCGCAAACGTGCAATTTTTAGAAAACAAAAATGTAGGCGTGCAGGACTACCCTAAACCTAACCATCAGTGGGACGTCAGCAAATTATACAAAATCGTAGCATTGAGATTGTACAAATTCATACGAATTAGCCAACATTTCGCCAAAACGTAACATTATGAAATGTCATGAGATTGAGTTGGTGATATTATGTTTATGTGAAGGTTTTATATGTGATCAACCCTTAATTTCTCTTCGCTTTTCCCTCTTCCTCCCTTTGCTTGTTTTAATGTGGCTGACCTATGCAATCTGACTGTAGTGCTCTTGTTACACTTAGATATGCACCTAGCGGTGTGGCTAAGTAGTCTGACGTCTATCTTGTGTTGTAGTGTGTATTAGAGCGCATGTCAGGAGAAAATAATGACGACAACAAAAAAAAGTCTTATCTATACTGGAATGCCATGGTGTTATCCTTTTTTCCTTCTGTTGCCCTATCCTTTATGCAACAATAAAACAATTCTGAAAAGAAGGATGTTAAATAAAAGTGTCGATGGGAACAGATAGTTGTGTCCTAGTCTGTGTTCATGGATATCAGACATGCCACATTCAAATGCTGTGACTAAACGTCATATTGCATTCTGTTTTTTTTTTGCTTTCACACACCTTTAGAGAAGATTTTTGCTTAACTTTTTTCTTTTCTTGGCCAAATCTAAATGTTATGTTGCATGATATGTGACTAAACACTACTTGGGTCACACCGAAAACCCTAATAAGTTGACAACTCAAATGATGACTATATCATCAACAATAAGTAACCAATATCATCTGATCAGATGTTTTCTTGCATGTATTGCTTTAAGGAGTGTGTTTTAGAAAGACAAAGTTAAAGCAGCCAGAGAAAAACTAATGTTTAAGAAATCAAGGCCCAACTAAAGCAAACACTGATCTCTATCACGGTGACAAACAAACACTGATCTATATCACGGTGACAAGCAAACACTGATCTCTATCACGGTGACAAACAAACACTGATCTATATCACGGTGACAAGCAAACACTGATCTCTATAACGGTGACATCAAACTTTACTAAACTTTTACTTTTCAGTAAACCATTAACATCTTAACCTCTGTTAAGTCTCAACATGAACTTTTGTATGAAATAAAGTCAAACTGGTAAGTGCAGATCCCGAGAGAACTGCATTTTGTAATTATCTACCAATCAGTGCATCAGTTCTCTTGTTGCCAGGTAGAACAGCTCGCATGGCCAGTCACATTAAATAAAGACCAGAGTGAGCTGTTTTAATAAATTAGGATTTTGAGTTGACAACACTTGTAATCTTAAATTTACTTTTTTTGTAGGTAAACAAGTTACACACACTTAGGTTTTTGATTTATGGGCCCGAAACGTAATGTCTTGTCAAGATTACTTAAATATTTAAGTAAAGACAACATTTGGGTGTACAGTGCAGTCCTGTTGTGCAAATGTAAACTTTCTAACTTTAAGGATGAATATGCCCATGTTGTGATTAAAATGAACTTTTATAGTAACATGCACTGTCCTTATTAATTATTATAACTTTCTGTTCAATGAGGGATTGACGGTTAGCTTACATGAGCATGCCAGTTAAATGCATTTTTGAAACATTGCTTTTATTAAAATATGAGGCTACTGAATTTAAAATTCCCTACAAATGAAAATCCTGTCATCATTTACTCCCCCTCATGCCATTCCAAACATGTATGACTTTATTTCTATGAAAAACAAGATATTTTGAAGAATGTTTGGTGACCCTTGACTTCCATTGTATATGGACACAAATAACATTGAGACTTTTCTCAGAATATCTTTTCATGTTCCACAGGAAAAAAAAGTGAGTAATACACATAAGGGTGAATAAATGATGAAAGAAATTTCATTTTTCCCTTTAAGGCCACATCTTAAGAGTTTTGCGCTGCATCGTATGTTCACACTTTTCGAATCGATTCAATATCTGCACAGGTGTTTAAGCTTTAGCGGCATTTCTCATATAGGGTTAGGGTTAGGATTATGTTATACTTTGCATCCTGCCTCATGACTGCTATTGTGTAAATATTTGCAAACAAAAGCACATTTTACACAGATTAGCACTGATGTTTTAACTAAATCTTAGTGCTCTGCTGTATTAATCCTGAATTTAATGCCAACCATTTCCTTCATCATGAAGGTAAGACTTGCATCACTTGCATCGTCTCTGCTCTGATCTCAGTTCAGTCTGTTTTCTGTAACCTCCTTGTTTCCATGGCTCTCGATGCTTATTAGGGTCATTTGTCTATTGCTAGATACATCAAAAACTAAATGGAAGTATATATATATATATATATATATATATACACATTTCATAGAATTTCAATTTCGTAGAACATTAGACTTCTGACATTTCTCAGAAATGTGGAAATGTGATTGAAAGGCTGACAGTTTGTGGAAACAAGGTTTGTGTTTGTCAGTGGTAACTGTCAAGACATTGACTGTTTGCGGTATTAGTGCTGTATTTCTGTGGATTATACTGTAGAATGTGCTTTATTTGTGCTGTATTGCTTTATTGTGTAGTCATCTTGTGTAATGGAGTGTGATAGAGGGCTCCTAATCATTTGTCTTTTCCCCATTTTATTCACTTGTTTACAATCCTGTCATTTACTCACTCTTATATTGTTCCAAACCTGTATGACTTTCTATGGAACGTTCTGAGAAATGGTATTTATTTTTCATTCAGTGGAAGTCAGTTGTCACAAACTCTATAGTTGCTAACGTTCTTCAAAATGTCTTTTGTCTTCCACCAAAGAAAGTCATACAGGTTTGAAACGACATGAAGGTGAGTAGATGATGATGGACTCATTTTTGGGTGTACTATCCTTTTGAAATCATCTTGAACATACAGATCCTCATTTTAAGGGCTAGTTCACCCAAAAAAATTAAGGTTACACTTTATTTCGATAGTCAACTTTAGACATTAACTTTAAAGGGTTAGTTCACCCAAAAAATTCTGTCATTAATTACTCACCCTCATGTTGTTTTAAACCCGTAAGACCTCCGTTCATCACAGTGTCTGTCTTCAGGAGAATCCTGCATGGACCAATCACAGTGGCAAGGTAGGATATCATCATTATTCAGCTCAAGGATTTTCAACCAGCCATACCAGCCAACTCAGTGACCCTCAGTTTGACAGTGCCTGTGCCCACCTTTAAACTTTAAACTTATCTTTACTAGTCTAAAACAAGCAGCTCAATATTTATGTCTGTTTGTATGTATGTCAGTTTGTCTCCGCCACATATTCCTCTGCAGAAGTTGTGGTTTTCCGCCACTCTCACCCACAACCCTGAGAAGCTACCGCTGCTGGATCTGCACCAGCCTCGACTCTTCAGTTCAACACACAGCTGTGCAGAGAGCACCACACAAAGCCAGGATGAATTTAACTTCCCTCAGGGTCTCGCTGTGAGTTTAGCACTTCCTGAGAATTGTAATCAGACACCATAGGATCTAAACTGGTAACAGATCTTCTCTGCATAACTTTAACATATGTGGGAATGTCTTGCGCAGGAGTATTATGTCCCCTGCACCTTAAGCAAAAAACCGCTCATCATCCTTCACTTCCTGCTTCGGCTCAAGTTCAGTCCTGCTTTGTGCTTCACAAACTCCAGAGAAGCAGCACACTGGTAATGATGCATTTTTCAGGACTGCTGTATATATTAAGGGCTCCAGGCCATGGTTAAATTAGTTGCAAATTTAAAAAAAATAAACAACTGCATCAATTAATTAACATCTTATTCATTTAAAAAAAAAAATGTAATGTCTTTTTGAATCGATTTAGCAATTTTTAATTTTTTTTACTTTATTAGTTAAAAGTGTTCATGGATGTCTCTGCATGGCATATTGATATCTTGACATGTATTGTTGCTTATTCTGCAATATGCCATTCAGTACATGCCACATTTAATATTATTTACACTACCGTTCAAAAGTTCGGAGTCTGTAAGATTTTTGCGATGTTTTTGAAAAAAGTCTCTTATTTTCACCAAGGCTGTATATATTTGAAAAATACAATAAAAACAATTATATTGTGACATATTATTACAATTTAAATGTTAACATATTTATTTTAATATTGATTAAGCATTTATTTAAAAAACAAATATTGTTGTAAATATTATTTACATATTTTAAATATTATCACACTTGAAATGTTTTCTATTGTTTGTTTTGTTTTGTTTATTTCTGTGATGCAAAGCTGAATTTTCAGCATCATTACTCCAGTCCTCAGTGTCACGTGATCCTGTAGATCTGGTGCGCAAAATTAGAATTATTCTTGCGTGAACTAATTTAGTGAAAAATTGTAAATAAAATGGAAGACGTGTCTTTAAATATGTATTTTTGCAGATTAAAGTTTGATGATTAGTGAAAGAATCTGTGATACAAGATGTGTTTTGAGATTTGAAATGTGAATCTAGGACATTGTGGAAGTATTATTTATTTATTCGGGTTTGTTACATTTGATTTTAAAAACTTTGTGGCAACACTGTAAGCATGACAATGGAAGAAAGCACTTCTGGTTGCAGTTCTCTAATTTGGTGACTAAACGTGGCTCCTATATGCTTCATTCATTTTTGGCTCCTTAGTCATTTTAATAGTCTGGAGCCCTGAATATAAAATTGAATTTGATTATAATCATGAATAATTTACAAGGATGCAAAGTGAAGTCTGCACCTAAGAAAAATAACTGTACAGACAGAGCACAGAGCAAGGTAATTCACACAAATATGTGGATATACTCTAGTTTTAGTTGTGATCTTTTGCCTAAAATGTGTTCAATGAAAGACAAACCATGTATTTTTGATTTCATCTAACAATTTTTTCTGTCTCTCAGACTGTATTTGCTCGTGAAGCTGTTTGTCGGTGTGGAAGTGGCTGAGTTTTCCTCTAAACTGAGCCCAAGCGAACGACAAAAAACACTGAAGGACTTGGAGCAAGGGAAGATCCCCCTGTACGTATGTCTTCAGTATCTGCCCTGAACAACCAACCCAACAAGATGTATAGTAATTTACTTCTGTCAACACCATGCAAGGCCGGAAAATTATTTTTGAAATAATTACGAAATATGGATTTACAAAATTTGAAAGCGTCTCATAAATATATACAGTATATACACTGAACAAAGTTAATATTATGTTTACTCCAGCAAAAAGATGTGAACCTGGACCTGAAGGTGGCCTTTTTTATAATTATACAAAAAGGCTTTTTCACGCACCAAACTTGTTTCAGTGAGTAGCTGATTTGGTCTATTCAGAAAGTCTCTGAAACAAAATGATGCTTGTCTTTGAAATATGCATGAAAACAATACTAGGTTATGTGCGGTTTTACTGCTGCTACATCAGGACATGATGCTGATGAAAATTGTATATTTCTGAAAACTGCGATGAATGTCTTAATACAGTGCTGTCTATGTTTACCAGTAGGCTATGATGACCAACAATGCTGTCAAAATAGGCAGCTCGCTAGGTTTTAATGCCCAAAAATGCTATCTTTATAGGCAGGTATGTTATAGTCCCCCAAGATGCAGTCTAGATCAGTTTGATGGCTAAAAATGCCTCATGCATTTGGTTTTGTAACATAGATGTCTGTTCTTCTCACTTATTTATTTTTCTTTTTTTACATTTGTGACCCTGGAGCACAAAACCAGTCATAAGGGTCAATTTTGCGAAATTTGTTATGATTGGACAACATTTGGTCGAGATACAACTATTTGAAAATCTGGAATCTGAGGGTGCAAAAAAATCTAAATATTGAGAAAATCGCCTTTAAAGTTGTCCAAATGAAGTTCTTAGCAATGCATATTACTAATCAAAAATTAAGTTTTAATATATTTACGGTAGGAAATTTACAAAATATCTTCATGGAACATGATCTTTACCTAAAGGGATACTCCACCCCAAAATTAAAATGTTGTCATTAATCACTTACCTCCATGTCGTTCCAAAACCGTAAAAGCTTAGTTCGTATTCGGAACACAATTTAAGATATTTTGGATGAAAACCGGGAGGCTCAGCCGCAACACAAAGATACATTTTCTATGTGTATTTACGATTTGATTTGAACGAAAACAGTGCATCCGTGCAGCGCGGCTGACACAGAAGAGCATACGCTGCTTGCGTTCAGCGGATATTCTCCAAAATGGCGTCACAAGCCTCCCGGGTTTCATCCAAAATATCTTAAATTGTGTTCTGAAGACGAACGAAGCTTTTACGGGTTTGGAACGGCATGGGGGTAGGTGATTAATGACCAAATTTTCATTTTGGGGTGGAGTATCCCTTTAAGCTTCCGACATCTCTTTCAGTCTGAAAGACTTTGTTGTTATTTCCTGTATTGTGCGGTTATAAATGTCTACGCTATATAAAGTTTACGCTTTCTTTTTCAGAAACCCATTTGTAAGGTGTTTGTGGGACTGTGACCGAGTATGATGGGTGCACTCGGAAACGGTCGACGTGGCGGTCGCTCCCCGTCATTGCTGGTGGTGGCTCTCATCGCCTGCGTCCTCCTGCTCGGCTTCAACTACTGGGTGATGGAGGGCCACATGAGGCAGCTGGCTGCAGACAGAGACCGAGAGCAGCAGAGCAAGCTGAAGGTTGAGGAGGAGACGCGCAGACAGAACGAGCAGCTGGAGTTAATGGAGGAAACACACCAGAGACAGCAGGAGAACGCTCTCATCACCTGGAAACACGAAAGAGTATGAAAACACTCATCTTGCACTCACTTGTGCAGTTTTTGGTCATGATTTAAAGGGATAGTTCACCCAAAAATGAAAATTTTATGTTTATCTGCTTACTCCCAGGACGTCCAAGATGTAGGTGACTTTGTTTCTTTAGTAGAACACAAACGAAGATTTTTTACTCCAACCATTGCAGTCTATCAGTCGTATAATGCATGGCAATGGTAACAAAATCTATGAGAGTAAAAAAAAACATGCACAGACAAATCCAAATTGAACTCTGCGGCTCGTGACGACACATTGACGTCCTAAGACACGAAACGATCGGTTTGTGCCAGAAACCGAACAGTATTTATATAATTTTTTACCTCTAATACAGCACTATGTCCAACTGTCTTTGGGTGCGCGCACGGCATCCGGTGCGTGAGGTGTGTACGCGCTCTGGCGTAGTTTACGTTAATGGGTGAGTTGATATCCAGCCGAAGAGCAATCAACCATAACTTCAGGCGAGCAGGCTCAGAAGTTGGGAATACGTGGAAAATCATATAATTTATTAAAATATAATTTATTTCTGTGATGCAAAGCTGAATTTTCAGCATCATTTCTCCAGTATAAAGAGTCACATGATCTTCAGAAATCATTCTAATATGCTGATTTATTATTAGAATTATCAGTGTTGGCAACAGTAATTTTTTGGAAACTGCGATACTTTCTTCAGGATTCTTTGATTAATAAAAAGTTTAAAAGAACAGCATTTATTCAAAATAAAATCTTTTCTAACAATATAAATCTTTGCTATCACTTCTTAACAATTTAACACAACCTTGCTGAATAAAAGTTTTAATTTCTTTCAAAAAAAAAAAAGAAAGTAAAAAATTTACTGATCCCAAACTTTTGAACGGTAGTGTATATTGTTAGAAAAGATTTATATTTTAAATAAATGCTCTTCTTTTTAACTTTTTTATTCATCAAAGAATCCTGAAAAAAAAGCACTGATAATAAATCAGCATATCAGAATGATTTCTGAAGGATCATGTGACACTGAAGACTGGAGTAATGATGCTGAAAATACAGCTTTGATCACAGGAATAAATTACATTTGAATGTATATTAAAATAGAAAAACGTTATTTTACATCATAATATTTCACAATATTACATTTGTTATTGTATCTAGTCGTGTCCTCTTTTGGAAGACCAAACAAAGTAGTTTCGCTTTCACACACGGTAGCCTACAGTGAGCAGAGGCGTGAGGAACGACCGGAGGGATAGAGTGAGCAGAGGCGGGTGGGCTTGAGAACAGCGCGGCCAGCGATTTCGACGAAGGAGCGTCCGGAAGGACATGTGGCGACCCCGGGCTGGACTCCGCTTCGTCCAAGGTGAAAGCCGATCCGGCGATCCACAGAGCAAAGTTGTAGTATTTCCTCAGTGACCAGCACGGATCAGCTCCAGGCATGACGAAGCAGATATCGTCCTCTTTTGGAAGACCAAACAAAGTAGTTTCGCTTTCACACAGAGTCTTTACGACATGGCGGCAGCGGCAACAATACTACAGCGAGAATAAAAGTTACGCCTTCTCTCTTTGCGTGAACATTTGGGCGGCATTACGCAAATCTTCCCACATAGTGATGTAGGTATGTGGGGGCGGGTTAGAACGAGGCGTTTTAGGTAGGTGTGGTTGAATCTTATCTTTTATAAAGAATATCTCTTTGGATTTGAGACTTTAGTCTTTGCAACTTTACAGATCTTCTTTATGCACCAAGAGCTTGTAACACTCCAAAGAGAAAGGAA